TTGTTTAGCACAAAAAAGGCCACCATTTGGCCATTTTGAATAGGATTGTCAAACCAGTATATCTGTCTATCTATGACATGATGTATAATGAATATTTAAAATTTGAACATAATCAGTGAAAGCAAGTCAGAGATATGGCACGAGAACCACATTCATTAATACAAAATGGCCGCCAGTCGGCCATTTTGAATCTTATCTGAAAAACAAAATTATTTGCATCAAGGTCCCATAATGTCTAATGTATATACCAAGTTTGAACAAAATCCATCTGTAAACAGCCAAGAAATGCTTAATTTTGATGATTTTTAGCACAAAAATGGCCGCCATTCGGCCATCTTGAATCAGATCGTGAAACAAATTGACGTGCATATGTATAATATCATGTATGATGTATGTGTGAAGTTTGATTGTGATTGGTCCAGGCATTTCTAAGATACAGGCACGCACGCACGCACACATGCACGCACGCACACACGGAGGTCAAAACATAAGTCCCTGTTTTCGGACTGCGTCCGAACGGGGACTAAAAATGGCCACCAGTCGGTCATTTTGAATACATCTACATATCTATAACATGATGTGAAACGAATATATATAAAATTTGATCATAATCAGTCAAAGCATGGTAGAGATATGGCACTAAAACTGCATTCATTAAAACAAAATTTTAAATTGGTCCGAAAAATAAAATTATGTTCATCAAGGTACCATAATGTCCAACGTATGTACCAAGTTTGAACAAAAACCATCGATGAATGCTTGATTTTGACGATTTCACAAAAATGGCCACCATGCGGCCATCTTGAATCAGGTCATGAAACAAATTTTTGTGCATATGTATAATATTATATATGATGTATGTGTGAAGTTTGATTGTGATTGGTCCAGGCATGTCTAAGACTCAGGTCTGGCCGCACACACACATGCATGGACGCACACAGGTCAAAACATAAGTCCACGTTTTCGGACTGCGTAAGAGTTGGTCTCCAGTATTGTAATCATGTGCAAGTTTGTTAGTTATGGTGTTACCGAATGACACTTTTTTTAACAATACTTCATGACTGAAATTTAAGGCACATACTTTAATGAGAATGAAGACTAAGTCAAACATGAGTGCCAAACATACAATGTATGTTTGTGAATGTATACTACTTGGAGTGTCAGTTAAAGTTTACTCACACATATTATCGTAATATGCATCTCAGGAGGAAATTGTGTCATACTTTTGCAACCAGACTCACTCGTGTTATCCTAAATGATCTATGTAAATTTTTTGACAATGAACATTTACTACAACCTTTGGAAATAAACATAGGTGTGTATCATGATGTATGCGACAAAAATATGATAAATAATACATTTTCAAAAAAAAAAATATCTGCCAGTCGGCCATTTTGATCTGGCTACAAAATGAATCATGAACAAATGTATGTATGTACCAAATTGAAATGAAAATGACAAAGCATGTCCAAGATACCACATTTCCAAAAAAAAAGATGGCTGCCAGTCAGCCATCTTTGATCTTATTATAAATAATGTAATGATCCAGAACAAAAATCTTATTTCAATCAGATTGGTAGTTATGTGCTAAGCCATTGGTAACAATGGCTAAAAACAGGAGTTTATGAATAATGAGCTTGTGAGGGTGCTATGACATGGCAAAATTAGTAGGAAATGTATTACCAACTAAAGTAACAATGTGACAAACATGGGTAATACTGTTAGCAATTAAAGTAACAATGTTATCAACTAAAGTAATAATGTTACAAACTAAAGTACTGGTAATACTGCTACTAACTAAAGTACATGTAGTAATAAAACTTACTAAGGTATAATACTGTTATCATCTAAATTAACAATGTTACCAACTAAGGTATTACTGTTACATGTACCAAATAAGAAATTAAGTGACCAACTAAGGTATTACATGTACTGCTACCAACTAAAGTAATAATATTACAAGCTTTTCATTTGATTGTTTTTTTTTAAATTTTGCTTCCTGATATTTAAAAAAAATGTTTCGATGTCTTTGATTCAAATTTCTGCAGCTGTGCTAATTAGGAATAAGGACACATCCAGCATTCCAAACACATTTCCAGTAATTTGCATATTTATTTATACCATCAAATAATGCCACATTGTGAAAAGTGATATACAGTAGTGACACACAGTCAGCTTTATACCCACTTACCAATATCTTGGCAGTTTCCACATCCCACATTGTCACAGTTTTATCCCATGATGATGACACAAATTTTGTATTATCGTGTTTCATACTACAAGATGTAACAAATCTAGCATGTCCTTCATATGTTTGTACAGGTTTACCACTTTCTATATCCTGAAATGTACAAATTAATAAACAAATTGAACACATTCATCTCAATTATAGACGTAACACAATGCACATGTATATGTATGGATGTGTTCTTGGATAAATGTGGTGGATTGAATGTGTTGGAATTAGGCAGAGGGTTCTCCGAACCCGCCTATTCACATAGTTCA